CAGGTGGAAGTGGGCAAGACAGTTTCTCTTGTATAAGTTGGAGTGGGGCTGTGAAAACACAGTTTCAGAGCTCCCAACTTACCTGCTCCAGGGATGCTCAGATAGAGGAAATATCAAAAGCTACTGAGTCATTCAGGGGTTTACCAGGTCTGAGCACCACCAAACCTTTGTGGCGATTGATGCTAAACAGATACACAGTCCAGCCTGGGGTGGGACATCTGGGTATTTATGCCCCTTGTGCTACATTCAAGAACTGATATCTGCTTCTTCTGATTGAAAAGAAAAACTCAACCCTCAAGTTCCATGGCCTCCTGTCCCTCTAAGAGATATAAAGTTGACTCCATTCCTTTGCATCTCTCCCTTTCTTCCCCTCTTAGTAAGCATTGGTACAGCTGGATGCAGGGTTTCTGGAGAATTCAGTGAGATCAGACACCTCTTCACAAAACGGCCACCCTACTCAAAGTACAGTCCTTAGCACCAGAATTTCACAAACACATGAGCCCTGATCAGGGATGTACCTCTGCTTTCCTGCAGGGCCAGAAAACTTGGGAAGAGCCTGGAGCTTTGGTATGGAATCTGTAGGTACCAACATTTTCTTTTTATAAATAGCATCATAAAGATGACTTGTTGCTAAGTTAATACTTCTGGGAATGTCAGCATTCTTAAGCTTAAGCTTAATTATTGGTCAAAATGACATCTTTTACATAGACGATAGAATTTCCCTTGTTATTATGGGTCAGGATGCTCTTCTGTTGAATTACACGGTGTAATAACGCGTGTCTCTGAAATGAAGTGTGTGTGTGTGTGTGTGTGTGTGTGTGTGTGTGTGTGTGTGTGTGGGCCAACTTCCTTTAGCCTACGGTGTCTGGTGTGCAGTGTGGCTGTGGTGCCATAGCCTCGCAGAGCTTCTGGGAAGTGCAGGTGGTGGATAGTTGACAGCAGCAGAAAATGAACTGTTGGAGCTGGAGTGATAGTACAGCGGGTAGGGCTTTTGCCTTGCACTCGGCCGACCCGGGTTCCATTCCCAGCACCCCATATGGTTCTCTGAGCACCGCCAGGAGTAATTCCTGAGTGTATGAGCCAGGAGTAACCCCTATGCATTGCCAGGTGTGACACAAAAAGAAAAAAAAAAGAACTGTTGGCTCCCAGAGTAGCCAGGGGCAGGCACCTCAGTGACCCCGAGGAGGACAAAAAGAACTAATATTGACATATTCACTCTTCTAGTCATTCCCAGAATGCGGGTGAGTTTCTGCCACTAGAAGGAGCCAGGCCTCAGGCCAGCCAGGTACTCAAAAGATGAGTGGCCTTCCCTCAGGCTGTTTTAGGTGGCCCAAAGAATACAGGTTCTATGTAAAAGGTAAAGGCCCCCCCGTTGTTCGTCAATTTGCTCGAGTGAGTCCAGTAACGTCTCCATTGGAGACTTTGTTGTTACTGTGTTTGGCATATCGAATACGTCACAGGGAGCTTGCCAGGCTCTGCCGTGTGGGCGAGATACTCTCGGTAGCTTGCCGGGCTCTCCGAGAGGGGCGGAGGAATCGAACTTGGGTCGGCCATGTTGGCTGCATGCAAGGCAAACGCCCTACTGTTGTGCTATTGCTCCAGCCCACAGGTTCTATGTAGCATCACTCATATGTGTAGATTCTGATACCAATGGTCAATGCCAAGATGCAGAGGTCTTGGCAGAGTCCTGGACTCCTGATCGAGGAGTGTTTAGGGGCTATTCTACCTTCGTCTCCATCTCCCCACCTCCTCTCTTGCAGAAGAGTTCTGTGTGGATTGAAATAATTATGTGCAGTGACAGGGAGAAGAGCAAAGTCCCATTTTAATGTTCACGACCTCAAGAAGGGCAGTTACATGATCCATGCGGAAGGAATTAGAGCATGTGAGAACACTGCTAGATAAAATGAAACTCAGCTCATTAAGACACAATTACCATTGTCCTAGGACATTTCCCATTTTGTATTCCCTTAGCTCTGCTTCATTTAAAGTTGTCCTTAGTGAACTCCTGGTTCTCTACCAAGCCAAAAAAAAAAAAATTACAGAACAAGACACAAAAACTGACCATCAATTTCCAGAAGTTAAAGACAAAAGAGGAGGCCACAAGAAGGACCAAGTCATTTCTCAGACCTGTTCCCATCACCATATTTTGCCAGGTGAAGAAGGAAATTTATCATCTGAGGATTAAGTACAATCATCCATCATCCATTCTGGAGGTATTACTGTAGTTTAGTTTAAGTGACTGAGATGCCAGTTCCCATTATCACCTATGAAATATAGAAAATCAAATATAAAAATAAACATTAAATATAAAAACAAAATATAAAAATTTTGAAACTTACACATGGCAATGGGACCTGGTGAGAAACTGATGGTTTGAAATGGGCTCAACAGCGAATAAAAACATTAGGCCAGAAGCAGACTCTGTCTTTACTATGACCAGAATCTCCCCTACTGGCTTGGAGTTAGCCTTCATTAACATCATGCATTGTCCCCCCCCCCCCCCCCATCAGCAAAGTGAGCGCCTACTCACTTCATTTCCTGATGCCTAGAGTTGAATCACACTCAATCCCTCCATCCCCAACACAGATTTCTGGATCAGGGAGGGGGGTGTGTGGTAACAAGAAGCCTTCCACCTAGCTAGCAGCAACCCAAGGTGCAAGGATCTCTCCCTCCTTCCACCACTCCAGGTGCAAAATGCTTCTGATAGTGTTTTAAGAGATGCCAAAGAGTCTCCACCACTTCCCTGCTTTTCTGGAGAGATCTGTCCTCTTTGAATGTGTGTTCAAAAATAATGTATGGGCACTCTCCGATTTCAATGATCAAGCTGCTTTCCCACCCCCATGGCTCTCTAGCAGAGAGATAGACCACAGCCTGGTGGTCTATGACCCATTTAATGCAGAGCTGCCAGTTATAGAACATCTGAGGGGGCTTGAGTTAAGGGAATAGGTGTGATTGTTCATTTATAGAAGCAATTTTCTTGAAGAGGTTAATTAAAGGAAACATTTGGTCTCCCAAGGACATCTACATTGCTTTTTGTTTTTCCTTCTAGTTCTATGTGTTAAACAATTAAATTTACTTCTTATCAATACTTGCAGTAGTTTGGATAAACACAGTAAGAGACAAAGATCTCAACACTTGGTTCTCTGGGCTCTGAAAGCAAGTAAGGCATTCACTGTAAATCCCAGCATCAATCTTTAGGCCAGTTCATCTTATCCTTCCCCATGGGAGTCCTGTCTTGATGCACAACAGCTTGCATCAAGTCCATGCATTTATGCTTTCTAGACTGTCCCATTTCGATGCCAGCATAGCTTCGCCACTTGCCCCAGGTCTATCCCAATCCCATGGTGGGACCTCCCTTTTGAGGTGTTAGGAACTACAGCAACTGATGCCTGAGTCAAGCAATTATGACCAATGCCCAGGAGTAGATACATTTCGGAGTCAATTAAATATCAAGAGCATAGAATTAACGGTCTTTTTGTGCTTAAGCAAAGAACATTGATCTATTGTAAAATATAAAAAGGCTATAAGGGGAAATAGCAAAGCAGGTAATTCACTACAAATACAAAATCCAGAATTACCAGAGAGTTTTTGGCCTACAAGTAACCAAGACTGACCTGGGGAACTGTGACAATGAGAGGTAAAACACAAAATTAAGGTTAAAGATAAACTTGAACCAAATTATGGATGCTAGAAAGAGCATGGTAAGCTTCTCTGGGAGGAGGAAAAGGAGAAATTCACTGATGAAGCCTAACACACTTTGCCCAATACTCAGAGTTCTGGATCCTATTCACATTCCCGGGTGAAAAGGAGGAGGGCTGCATCATACTTACATGCCCCTTATTTTCCCAGGAGAGCAAAAACCTTCTCAGTTTACCTATACACATACACACAACAGAAATACAGCACAGAGTCCCCTGAAATCTCACCAAAGGACCACAAGCATTACTGAATGCAAGGGAAATGGGCAAACACCAGGGTCTCATTTCTAATCTGTCTTAGAGAGAGAGAGAGAGAGACAGACAGACAGACAGACAGACAGACAGAGAACGAGAGAGACAGACAGAGACACACAGAGAGAGAAACAGTGAAGAAAGGGTTAGGGATGGGGTCTGAGGTTGGACACAAAAGTACAATGTCAGATATAGCTAACTGAATCTTACACGTTTCTCATTATTTTAAGACACAAGTATCACAAATATCATTGAGAAAATTTATCCTTAAGCAATTGAGTTAATAAGAATAGAGTCTGGAGAGATAGCACAGTGGATAAAGCACTTGCCTTGCTGTGGGCAAACTAACCCCAGTTTGATGCCTGGCAACACATGATAACCCTGAGACTGCCTGAAATAATTTCTGAACACAGAACGAGTGAGTTTGTTGGACCCTGTGTGGTCCAACAAACAAAATTAAAGAGATATTTGGGGCTTATATCAAATTAGTTTACCGATGAGCAAATTTGACCAGCTCCAGAGATGGCATGGAAGGGAGGCAGGAACATCTGCCAATGGCCACCCATCAAAGGGTAAGATCTTAAGTAGCTCTAATGATTTTGTGCCAGTGTTTTCTCTCCAGGAAAGAGAATGATCTTTTCCTTCCCACACCCCTATCTTATAATGTAGATGAAGTCAGAAAACTGTGGACATGCATTAGAAGCAAGCATGATAATTTACTTGGTGATAATGAAATAGACCATTATTCTGGAAAAAAAAAACTGGATAACTCCAGAGGTAAAACATTTATCCTTTGGCTTATAGATGCCCCAGAGCTCAGCAGTGGGAGTCAGGCTTTGCATTGCAGTGGGGGAGAAAGAGGGCGATATTGAGGTCTGGTCCCTTTCTCAGCCTTTGGGAGCTCTGACGTCACAGCTGCCCAGAGCCCTAGTTGGCTCACCTCTCTCCAAAATGAGTCACCTCCAGGGCTGGGAAGGTTCTTATCAATTGATCCCACTTTCTCACCTTGACTTCCTCTCTCTTCTCACCTCCTCTTCCCAACCCTGCCAGACAAACAAAGCGGTGGCCAAGGGGGACTTCCACCAGGCCAGCACCAGCTCCCGGAGGGCCCTCTTCCTGGCAGTGCTCTCCATCACCATCGGGACCGGCATCTATGTGGGCGTGGCCGTGGCCCTCATCGCCTACCTCTCCAAGAACAACCACCTCTAAACTTCCTCCAGCTGGGACACACTAGGAGGTGCTGCAGATGGCACCAGGAAGCCTGGAGGTTCCTCCCGGTGGACTCCTTCTGAGTTCGCTCTTTCATTTTCTTTTCCCAGCACTGTGTAAGCACGAGACACATGGGCACTGCTCACTGTTCCAAAGGGAAGCTCCAAAGATCCTGATTCCTGAGGTTGTTTTGGATGGGCTCTGCCCAGTGGACAACAGTGCACTCTCCCCTCGGCCTACACCTGGGGAAAGGCCATCAAGTTAGCAATACACCAACGGCCAACTGCTGGTGGTGGGGATGGCATTTATTTAGAGTCCAGTGCCATACGCAGAGGTTAGAGGACAAGCCATTCTGCTGTCTGTGACCCTGCAGGACTCTGGCATCCCCCAGTCCACATGCCCCCCCTGCAGGAAGAAAATGATCCTGAGCAAGAGAGATGGATGCTGCTTCTGGGACTCCACCTTCCTGGGGGCTACAGATGGATCCAGCCCTGAAGATGCGGAGTCAGAAGTGCTCAGGACATGTCCCCAAGCAGAGCGTCATTCCCAAGTGCTGTTCCAGCCGAAGTACTCTGGGTGTACTCCTTGACGTGTCTGGCTGAGTGGCCAACACAGCAGCAATATGCAGTCCTGGGCCCTCAGAAGCTGGGCTGGGGGCAGGCCACAGCTCCTTTACCATACCTTGAAGAAGGGCCTCCAGATTTGCTTCAGATGCTTTCCGAAAGAGCTCTAGGGTCAGAGCAGCTTGAAGATCCAGCAGATGCTTCAGAGCTGGCCATCACCCTGGGCCTCTGGAAGTGCTGCTGGCGATCCTACGAAGAAGAGGAGGAGCCTCCTCCGGCAGCTCCGAAGAGCTGTTTTCCTGTCCTTTTCTGAAGTGCAACTCTTGCTTCATGCTGCTTCGGTTATCAGATGAATGCTGATAAATACATAATCAGAGACATTTTAATACCACCTCACTGCTGTTTGATGAGTTTTTATTTAGCAAAAATGATCTTTGAGCTTTAAAAAAATTTTTTTTTGCTTAAGACATTTCTTGCTGATTAATCTTGATTCTTGCAGTCACTGGACCTCCCCTCTGAGGAGAGTTGGGACCCCTTATAGGAAGTACAGCTGACCCTTCTACATAACCACACTTACAGTACCAGGGATGGAAGTCTGAGCCCTCCCTGCCAACAGATGCAGAGCCCACTATTTGGGAACTGTGTTTTCACCTTGCTGCTGGGCTCTCCATTCCAGAAACTTGAGTGTTGGTGGCTTGGGGGGTCTATGTGGTAGTGCCAGGCATAGTGGGAATTCAGATCCTGTCCTGCAATAAGGACTCTGTCTTCAGCTCCTCATCCTCTGCCCTCTCTCTGCTTTCCTACTTGCCTCCCAGTCCCACTCCTCCCCTCACCAACATGCTCAGCTCATGTTCTGAAAACTAGCAGCACTGGCTTCATGAGAAGGGTCCTGTGTCCTGCTAGCACATGCTCAGCAGACGGCGAGAAGCCCTGATACACTCTCTCTCAGAGTTAGAGTAATCTGGAAAGCAGAGAGGCCACTAATACCCCCTGCCTGGCTTGGGACACAGCTGTGGACTTGTAGCTGTGTGAACCCTGGGCAGGTGAGCACAGCCTCCCAGCTCCTGTCAGGAGCAGGTGATAGATGAGGTCGACTCTCAGGATAGCTGGTGAATGAGTGGGCAAAACCAGGCCCTAGAGTGTGGCACCAAAAATTTGCCATTTCTTCCAGAACCCTGAAGTCTAACCCAGTGCTTTTCTTTTTGTTTGTTTGGGGATCACCCCTGTGGTGCTCAAGGATCACTCCTGGTGGGGTAGGGGACCACATACAGTGGCAATGATTAAAATCAGGTCAGTCACATGCAAGACAAGCCTCCTGCCCTCTGTGGACTTTCTCTGTCCCTGACCTGGGGCTTTAGAAACATATTACATTCAAGAGGCCCTCTTTTCACCAAAAAAGTCATTAGATCATAACTGAGCATATAAAATAAGGATCCAGGACAAACATATAATAACAAATCATTAATTTTATTTTAAAAATCTTTCATGGCCCCCACATTCAATTATGCTCCATGTGGTGTCAGACCCCACAGCCTAAGAATTTAGGGTCTCCCCAACACTTGTTTGTGCCTTTCTGCCTTTCACCCAAGTTTCTCAGGGCTTCCAGACACTGTACAAAAGGGGCGCATGTAAATCCCAGGGGCACAGAGATCTGGGTCACACGTGGTTGAAGATAGAGTTGGCTTGTGCTTACCCACCCATACTCAATCAGCGTGGTCACAAAGCTCGGCCCAGCCTTCTGGAGCAGCTGGTATCTCCTCCCTCCTCTTCTTTCTGAAATGACTGTTCTCAGTGTAATCTTCTGCCCAAGTAGAGATTACCAAGGTCTCCTCCAGGACCAGCACATGGTACCATGTGCTTCTGCAGGGTGTGTATGTGTGTGCGTGTGTGTATCTCAGAGACACCACATCCATTGCAGTGAATGAAGCAGTGAATGTGGTGAGGCTGATCCTGTGACCAGCTTGACTTCAGTAGAAGGGTGTGTCAGGCATCATATCTGGTGACTGGTGACTCTATTGGTGACCGGTGGGTAGCATAGCATTCCTCTAAATGCAGTCGGACGCCATGTGTCCTAGTTGTCATCATAGGTCCCATGGATAAGGTGCAATTCTGTCAGGTCTTGAGCCAGCTCGAGGCCCACACAGTCTCCTGAGCCCCAAGAACCCTGGTGGGAAGGTGAGACAAGGGGCCTCACCCTGGGCACAGAAAAGTCATCTGTGAAAGAGAACAGGAAGAAGATCTTGGCCTACCTGGCCCCAAGGCCCTTCTGGGGGACTCTGCTCCTTGCCCCTCACCAAGGGTTAAGCCTTCGTTCCCACCAACAACTTTTAGTCCTAAGATGCATTTCCTACAATCAGTCAGTAACTTCCCCATAATGTGCTCCAGCATAAACCACATTCACAGACCATCAGATCAGTCCTAATCCCTGGCCACTTGCATGGTTGCTTCATTTTCTTTTGTTTTGGCCCCCAGCACTGCTCAGGGAACTATGGAAAGCTGGAGATCAAACCTGGGCCTTCTCTTTGCACCCAGCCCTCTGGGTGCTCTCCCTGCCTCCACCTCCCCTCCCTAAAACTCCTCACATCAGGCTGTCTCGGCTGGGGCTGTCTGAAGGGAGAAAAGCTACCCCTGGGCTTAGGTCACATAGTCAGAGGGCAGGACCCGAAGGGGGGTGTATGGTAGTGGGACGGTCTGTTAGGGAGACACATGGGGAGAAGGTGGGAGACAGAGGTGACGCCAAGGAAGATGACCCCTGGACAGGATTTCTCACACGCATCTTGTCACCTTACATGGTATCTCTCTTCCACATCCTTCACACTCGGCATCTCTCAGTCCCTGCGGGGTGGAGCTGACCTGGCTTCACTAGCCAAGTGTCTCCCCCTCACCAGTTTCATGAGGTGAACTGCTGTCACGTGCTTCCTGGCATCCCTGTGGACCTGGTGTTCCATGGCCGACTGGGAGCTATGACGGTTCCTGAGGAAAGCTCTGACTACAGCAAGTGTCAGTGTCTTCCCAGGCATCATCTACGACTTGTGACATATGTTTTGTGTCCAGATGGCAAGGTGCAGCCTGGCCCACTGCTAGAGTGGTGCTTGCACACACCACCAGTGACACTGGCCTCCCTGACTGCCTGAGGCCGGCACAGCCACTGCTGACAGCTGCCACCCCACACAGACACGACTGTCCACAGAGCCTGATGGCCTAGGCAGTGGCCAGCCTGATTTCTCAAGCATCCTGGGACTGGTCCTGAACAGAGGTCTTTCCAAGGAAGCTCAGTGTTCTGCATCTTTCCTCCAAGTCCCTATGCATCAGTTGCCAGAATGTTCGTGTCTATTGCCCCAATTTGCCAAAAAACACTGCAAGAGTAGATTCAGATCCCGAGCTAATGCTTCCCTCTGGGAAGATGAGCCGATTGTCCATCTCCCATCTGGATGTCACATTTGTCTCAAAGTCCTGTAGTTGGTGACATTATAGACATCTGGTAGGGCTTAAGTAGCAGAAGGCTGTAAGGGTGAAGTCCCCCCAAAAACCTCTTTAAAGACTTTCTGTGGCCATGATCCTCACTTGTCCAAGGTTCTCACTAAAGATTCTGTCCATTTCTGCAGAGCAGAGGCAGACACTGAGCCCCAGGGCTGTGGGGCTGTGGACTGTGGCTTCTGCAAGAGGAACACATGAATCCAGTAATGTCTGTGTCAGGCCCTGTCGCTGGGTCAAACCGGAAGGAACTACTGAGGTGCTGAAACAAGGGTCCAGACATGCTAAGTTACAGTGAAGGTCCGGACCCTGGGCCCATGACAGGGCAGGTAACAGGGTCGCACCAGAGGGCTCAGGACTCTGTGGTGTCAAAGACCTGGTCTAGAGCTGTTAAAGACACAGTGGGGCTGTCCATGGCAGGGGCTGTCCTCTGCTGGGGAATGACCCTCTGGAGCAGAGATGGGGCTTGAGGGAGTCAATGGTGATGATGATGATGATGATGATGATGATGATGATGATGATGATGTTGATGGACTTAGGCCATAAAGCACTGCCCCTATGAAGAGAGCAATGGGAATGCTGACACCACCCCAGCACCCACAGGGTCCAGCAGCATGTGTCTGCCAGTCTCTCTGGCCTCACATCACTGGATTCAGCCTGTGATTCAAGCACTTAACAGTAAGCTGAGGCTGTTGTCTACACCAAGGGATCCTTCCTCAGATTCAAACTGATAAAGCAGGGGGTGATAGGATAAGGGTTATGAGTGTTCTTCTAAATCACCTCTTGTCTTCATTCACTGTATATGGTTCCAACACCATTCCTAAAGTCTCCATTTGACTCAGTATATGAAATGTTCCTAGTAAGCATGAAGGTTCTGCTAAAATTAGTTGTTGCTGAGGGCTGAGTTAGGGAAGGGCTGATATAAAACCGTGACATCTCTGACTCAGCACCAGAAACAGACATTCGATTTATCCTCTTAAGAGCTTCTTTTGCCATTGGTAGGGTTGGCCCCTGCACAGTGACGGTGTCTAAACTAGAAATCAGGTCAGACCACCCTCACCCTTAGCTTCAGTCCCTGATGGAAATAAAGGCAGGGGCTGACCCGGAAGCAGCTCCCAATGCTTCCTCCCATCCCTAAACCTAGCTCTCTGAGGGTCAGGACCAGTTCCCACCTGCCATTCTGTGGGCCTTTAAGAACAGTA